ATGGAATTTCTTCCGTCCAGGAGACAGTTGTGACACTACAAGAGTGGCAGAAGCCCAACTAAGAGCGAGAGCAGTGTGCTTCCCAACCCACAGAGCAAGTTGAAGCTGAATGCCTGCAAGTAGGCACTTCATTCAGGGATGCAGATTTGCTGACCCTCAGAACTAGAGCCACGCTCCTCTGCTCCAGGCTTCTGGCACAGTGGCTTTGCGACAATGCCTAAGCAGGGCAAAGAGGCTGCCCAGACAGAACAACTGTATCCGGAGTACTTCTCACCTACATTATAATCTGTTAACTTCTTTAATAAACTCCATAATTACGAGTACCATCCAAGTGTGTGTGCCTATTGCAGTGAACTTTTGAACCCAGGAGCAGAGTGCTGTGGGAAGGCAGGGTGGCATCAGCATCAGTAAGGCTGCTGATGATGGAAACGTTTGGCTTCAGAGGCATCAGACTTGAGCAGCTGATCCTGATGATTAAATTTCTCTCCTGAGCTTACTGAGATGAGACCATACCGCTCCGTTTTGTGCCGTTCCACTGTCTTGAAAGCACATGATGAAATCTAAGAAAAAAGGTGCCATACGAATGTAGAGATGGAAAGTAATTTCACAGCCCCATGCTGGGCATCACCGTGACTGCCAAGACCCAGGATGAAGTCAGTTCAAAATCAATCTTAAAATCAGAGTGCGATGTGGTAGATACAATGGTCAAGGCACACATTCACACTCAAGTTCAAGGTCATAAAGTCAACGTCAAGCTGATCCTTTAAAGTTTCACTGTCATGTTCAAGCTCAGGGCCAGGTGAACAGTTAAGTTTCGGTATCCTAATTTGTCGCGGGGTAAACACCACACAGACTATGTGTGGGCCCCAAACTGGGGAGGATTCTGCTGTTCCCTAGGCCAAACACGATGTCTGATTAGGCCGAACTATGGAGAGAAGACTGAAGCCATGGTCCACCGTCTACGGTAGTGGTACTACTACGTTCCATCCAATTGGTTCCTATTCAGTGACCCCACGTACAACAGGATGAAACCACTGCCCAGTCCTGTACCAACCTAATTGTTCTTAAGTTCAAGTTTTCTGTTGCAGCCACCACGTCAAATCACCTTGTCAAGGCGTTTCTTCTTTTTCGGTGCCCTTCTACTTTACCAAGCATGAAGTCCTTTTCCAGAGACTGGTCGCTCCTGGTAACACATACAAAGAACATCCTGGCTGTACTTCTAAGATAATTTGTTCATTCGTTTGGCAGTCCATGGTACTGTCAATATTTTTGCCACCATAAAATTCAAAAGTACGAATTTTCTTGTCTTCCTTAGTCAGTGTCCAACTTTCACATGCACCGAGGCGATTGAAATACCATGGTCAGGGACACCTTAGTCCTCAAAGTGACATCCTTGGTTTTCAACACTTTAAATAGGTCTTTGTAGATTCACTAAATACAATGTGTCCTTCGATCATTTGACTTGCTTCCGTGGATCTAAGCAAGACAAAGTCCTGGACAACTTCAATCTTTTTTCCACTTGTTACTCACTGGTCTGGTTGAGGATTTTGGTCTTCAAACTGTGCTGTAACCCATACTAAAGGTTGCAATCATTGATCTTCGTGAAGTGCTTCAGTCACGTCCTCCTCACTTTAACACAAGCAAGGCTGGGCCAAGTATATATTGCAGGTTATTCATAAACCTTCCTCTAATCCTGATGCCATATTCTGATATTTATGATGTTGCTCTATGATTTGCACATTGTTGGATCATATTTATTTGGAATGGGCACAAATACAGATCTCTTCCAGTTAGTTAACCAGGTAGCTGTCTTACAAATTTTGCAGCATAAGCAAGTGTTGGGGACCATCGCTTTACAGGCAAAGTCTGAGCAGTGGAGAGGACTCGGCACAGCCCTGAACTCTCCCCGTCATTACCTCTGGCATATTACTAGTTAAGGAGTTCATGCCAAGTCTATCGAGTTTGTTTTGTAGAGAACAGCCTGTGCAGTGTTGTTAGATAAGAAAGGAACATTTTTGCTACAGAATGGTCTTTAGTCATTCTTAAGTTAGAAGAGTAACGGAGCATCTTAGTCAGCTTGAATAAACACTTGGGTTTATTGTACCGTTTCCTGATACTGATGGTATATATATATACACACACACCATTTTATATTTATATATATATATATATAAGATCTGCTGGCTAAAAAGTCAATTTGCTGGTTGCTGCACTTGCACTTGGGTTTATTGTACCGTTTCCTGATACTGATGGTATGTATGTATATATATATATATATATATATATATATATATAAAATCTGCTGGCTAAAAAGTCAATTTGCTGGTTGCTGCACTTGCACCAGTCCTAACGCTGTTGTCTTTCTTAGGAATCCCACTCCACCTCTGCCCGTGTGGACCCTCTGCAGGTGCGGGTCACCGCAAACAAGTGCTTCTAGTAAGTACTTCGTCAGCTTGTGAAAATATTTCAATTGGTATTCTATCAATTCCAGGAGCCTTGTTTTTGCCTAATGCTTTCAGTGCAGCTTGAACTTCTTCCTTCAGGACCACTGGCTCTTGCTCATGTGCTACCAGCTAAATGGTGAAATATCAGCTAGTTCCTTTTGGTTTCCTTTTCCCCCTGCATGGTTCATTAGTTTGCCCATAGATTCTTTCCAGATTGCAATGTGAGGCTTGAATTTTTTTCAGTTCTTGCAGCTTAAGATACACTTAGCATATTCTTCCTTTTATTGTTCTAAGTCTAGGTCTTTGCACAATTCTGTTCGTCTCTATTTCATTGCTTCCCTGCTTAGCTACCTTACAGTTGACCAAGTCTGTCTCTTCTGACATCTACTTGGATCTCCAACCCCCTCAAAAAAAACATTCTATTGGAAGCTAACACATATCATTCCATAATTCAGTCACATCAAGCAGTATTGTACAATTGCTATCATAATCAGTTTCAAAACATTCTCTTCCTTCTAGAACTCCTGGATATCAGCTGCCCTTTACCTGTCCCTCCCACCGCTGTACCCCCAGGAACCCTTGTTCTGCTGGTTGTCTCTATACCTTCGTCAATCCTTTCCTGTTAATGCAGTCTTGATTTCTTCATGAATGATGTTCTTGATGTCATCCACAGCTCATCAGGTATCCTGTCATTAGTGTTCAACGCAAATCTCTTCTCTAGATCAGCGGTTCTCAATCTATGGGTCGTGACCCCTTTGGGGAGGGGTGTTGAACGACCCTTTCACAGGGGTCACCTGACTCATAACAGCAAATTACAGTTATGAAGTAGCAATTAATTTTATGGTTGGGGGGGAACTGTATCAAAGGGTCGAGGCTTTAGGAGGGTTGAAAACCACGTGAGATCAATTTAAGGTCACAATTTGACTCTGGAGGACTTGTTTTAATTTTTAATGCAAACTTACATATGAGCACTTGATGGGCTCTTTCACGGCTGGCCCCTGGTCTCTTTTTAGCTGCCGATACTGAACTTCTCCAGTGTCTCTTCCACAAATGTAGTCAATTTGATTTCTGTGTATTCCATCTGGAGAAGTCCACATTACAGTCACCTTTTGTGTTATTAAAAGGTATTGCGATGAAGAAATTGTAGGTCTTGCAAAATTCTATCATGCTTTCTCTTCAGTCACCAAGACCATATTTTCAACTACTGTTCCTGTTTCCACATTCTGCATATTAATCACCAATAATTAAATCGATGCACCTTTATTTTGCTTGATCAATTTCAGGTGGAAGCAGCTGATAAAAACGTCAATTCTTCACTATTCTTAGTGACTGGTGCCTAAATTTGACTAAATAGTGGTATTACTTGGATTTTCTTATATGCAGACAGCTATTATCCTATTCACAGCATACTTCAAGATACAGTGTCCTTTTTTAATAAATCTGACCCCATTTCTTGTGTAACTACCATTCCCGGCAGAGTAAACTATCTGACTGCTTGATTCAAAATGACCAGTATCAGTCAATTTCAGCTCACTAATGCCTAGCATATCTTTATGCATTGCATTTCAATTTTGAACATTGCTACTTCCCCTAGATTCATACTTGATCCATTCCAAGTTCCAGTATCAGTAGACATTCTTCTCCTTTTGTGTTCCACGATGAATGCAGGTCCTGAAGGCTTTACTCCCGAGGGCTTCGTTATTCAAATGACGACGGTCAACTCAGCTTTCGCAGTCAGGTTTTGAAGGCCTGCTACCCGAGGGCTCATCATCTGGCACAATCTCTGACAGTGTTCAGCTGTTATTCACTGGTGGCGTTGTGGTTGTGTACAAGCTCAAAGTGTGACCTTTGAGCTCCGGAGAATGCTATTTGTATATATGGCAAGAGCAAGTAGAGGATGACACCAACCGAGGGTTCTGAGAAGTGGAAACAAAAACGGTAGCAAAGACCCAAGACAAGGGGGCGCTTTTGTAAAACCTACGCTGATGGCCATTTCTCCTTTTAACACCCATATTCAGTTCCAGCCAGTGGCTCACACGAGGGGAACTCAAAATGCTCTTAGAAAAATTCTGTATCACTTTTAATTCCGTTTTCCCCTAAACTTTTAAAAGTCTTGTCATAGATGCTTTAATACAGGGATTCTGGTATAGATTGTCCTTTTGTGAAAACCCCAAAATCTATAGTTATGTGCTATATTATCAACTAGGTCAATCAAAACACAACACATTGGCTAAGTAGATCATGTGGCCCATAGATGATAACTTGTGGCTGCTCCCATGAAGGGATAATATATTTATATTTATATATATATATATTTTTTTAATGGATAATATATTTTTAATTCAGTTTCTTTCTCTGCTCCTTATAATTAGATTTTAAAAAAGTTAGAAATATTTACTGCAGGGTGGAAAGGGAGAAGACTTTTCTGCCTAAAAACACCACCCATGCCCATATGGAGGGCTTTAAAACTTGAAAAAACATTAGCCATGATTATTTCATGTGGTCTCTACTGAGCCAAGAGTCGGGAAGAAGGAAAAAAGACAGGGCAAAGGCAGATGATCTTTGTTCTTGTTAAATTTTATTGGCATCACGTTCATCTCTTTACAGAAGAACTTGGCCCACACCCTAGAATGTAAGACCTTTGGGAAAAAGGGAGAAGTGCTCCGTTAAGCAAGCTACAATGCAGGGGCAGCTCCTCGGGGGAGCAGAACTGCCAGGGTTCCATACCAAAGAAACGGGTTAATGAACGGTGGGCAATATCGGAGAGTGGGCTGGAGAAAAGGAGTGCTAACCTAAGGGTACCACAATCCTGGAAGGAGCGCCTTCTAGAACAAAGGTAAGATCACTAGGACAGATCTGTTAGGATGTTCCTTTCCCTCTTATAGTGGGATGCTGATCTACCAGGGGACGACGAAGTGTGGAGCAGGGGAAAGTTTATTTTAAAAAATATTTGAAACGGCCATTTTATCCACTTGCACACACCACTGTATTATGCAAATCAACCTTTTGGAAAATTTTGACACAGAAGGGAACTAGACAGTTTCCCCCTGGAGAGATGAAAAGCTGTTTGGCTCTTAAGTCTTTGATAAAAGGTGTACATAATTCTCAGTATCTACTGTACAGAATACTGCCTCCAACTGAATTTTCAAATTCTGAATTGCAAACACTGTGTAATCCAGACAGGGTTCAACCCTCCTTCTTACACACCTGCATTACAGGACTTAAACACATAATCCAAGAATTTCTTACACTAATTTATACATTTTTAATTGGTTGCATATATTAACATGTACTATAAGATTCTTTTCTAAGAAGCATTACATAATAAATGGATACTGTAAAAAGATCTGATTAGTGAAAAGTAACAAGCATCAACAGATACATACAAAACTCAGCCTAATCAGACTGGGTGTGAGCCTGTGATGAAACATGGGCACCAGCCTTCCCAAGGTGTGGCCTTCACAAGGAGGGGACGGGGTGGGAGGGTAAAAAGACCACGAGACCGTTTAAAAAATCAGTAACTAATTAGACACAGATTAACTGTTGTAAACAGTTCTCTCTCTCTCTCTCTCTCTCCCCCCGCAGTGGACAATAAGCTTCCGTGCTGACTCCGTGCCAGAACGGAGTCTGCTGATGGCCTGTCCTGCTGCCAGACAAGGGCCCAGGTGGTGGTGTGCAGACCCATGGAGCGGTGTCACAGGCGCAGGCTGCTTGTCTGCTCATGTCACGTCTGTGTCTGTGTTGTCTATCGGGGTGAGCTTGTTGGGTGGGGGTTCTTTTGGCAGCTGGATACGAGAGACCAATTCAGGTTTTGTTTGGAATAGGCAAGGGGGCTTGTGTTTGAAGGCCTAAGTGTGTTCTTGGCTTGTGAAGGACTCAGTGCTCTATTCTCACTGCCCCTTCAGCAACTGCAGCTTTCCGCTGAGGCCTTGGCCCGGTCATTCTTGTCCAGTTTGATGGGCTCAGGGAATTCGTTGTACAGCTCCACCTCTGTTTCCTGGACAGACCGAGAGAGAAAGGTTGGTTACTCAGGGATGTCAGACAGGGGCATTCCATCTCCCAGCTCTGGTTCTTTTTGCCAGGCATGCCATACTTTTGCCTGGGCCAGGGCAAGAGGACAGAACATGAGAGGCAGCTAAGGGTGGGCTCTGATGGGAGATGGGAAGGTAAGTGTGTGACAGCTCCAGATCAATGTGAAGAGAGAAATAAAGACAGCGAGAGCAACAATCGAGAGCTGACGGATACTCTATCAGGTTGCAAGCTGAATCACATTCAGTTCACAGAAGCTATCTGTATGATGCATGTAGTTGATAACACTTTTAACAAAACCAAACAGCTTTTGAATCAATTCCAATTCATAGTGGCCTTACCATATAGTTCCCAAGTCTATAAACCCCCACAGGCGCCTTATTTCCTTCCTTAGAGTGGCTGGTGGTTTTGAACCTCTGACCATGCAGTTAACCCAGTTAGATGTGCAATGCTTACCTAGTAATGCCACCAAGGCCGCTCCTTTCTGGAGGTTTAAGACAGTCCTATCTCAAATGCTGCACGTGCATGCCACATGCAAGCTGTGGATGCATTTTCTCATGACTTGGGTAAGGAATCAGTAGACAGCATGGTGTGGGTGCAAAGAAGCCCGGGGGTGTGCGTGCGCAGTGCACAAAGTGCTGCATTGCTAAAAGCGAGGTCGGCACAGTCGAGCGACCAGCCTCTCCAAGAAAGATGAGGCTATTTGTACCTGTTAAAATCTCATAAATCTTATGTAGGGGACATGATGAGTCTGAATTGACTCAGTAGCAGTGCATT